CTCTATTGATTATAGAAATGATTGGAGGTAATTGTTTTGACTCTGTAAGGCTGTGCGGGGTATGCGATATATGCAGGCCGTGCTATTGAAATATTGTCAGTTCAGTCACCAAGATCCTCACCGCTCTTTCTCATGTTTTTTGGTCTTTGTCTTTGACAACGACAAAAAAATGCCTATCTCGCGGCTTCGATGGGAATATACAGAGGACGACATGGCTGAGGCTATATTGGATATTACTGATAATGGCTTTTCACCCTCTCAAGCGGCTCAGAGACGGGTAGTGCCCCGAAGGACTCTAATCGACAGACTTAACGGCCAGACAGCCGTGAAAGAGCAGATTCAGCCTCGCCGACGTTTGTCCAAGAATCAAGAGGACAGATTGGCTTTCTGGATACTCCGCCAGGAATCCTTGGGCTATGCTCCGTCCCACAATCAGATCCGCGCTTGCGTCATGGGCTTGTTGAGACAGCAGGGCGAACATTCCGAGTTAGGACGCAATTGGGTGACCAGATTTGTCAACCGCCGCACAGACCTGAAGACCAAGATGGGCAGACGTCAAGAAGCCAAAAGGTTTGACTCTTTCACACCTAAGGCAGTTCATTGGTACTTTGATATCAGGGAGGGCCAGTATGGCTGGATCAAGCCTGAAAACACCGTCAACGTTGACGAAGGGGGTATTATGACTGGTTTCGGCAAGCATCTATCTGTATACCTTGTCAGTGATTGAAATTTGACCGACTAATCCTTTTTATTTAGGCTTAGATAGCCTGGTTGTTGGAAGCGCGGACCCAAAACGGAAGGCATTTCTCAAGGGACCACAAACTCGAAATTGGACTTCATTTATCGAAGCTGTCACTGCTGACGGCCGCGCCTTAATCCCCGGCATAATCTTCAAGGGGAAAGAACTCCAGAAACAGTGGTTTCTTGAGGAATTCAAGAAGATAGCAGACTGGTATTACATAACTTCACCTAACGGGTGGACTGACGACCACATTGGCGTTGAATGGCTTGAAAGAGTCTATCTGCCCCAGACCATGCCTGCCGACGACTCTGACGCGAGACTGATCATTTTAGATGGTCATGGGAGTCATGCAACGGTATATTCTTCGTTTCCTTCGGCTCAAGATCACTACTGAGCGACGGAAGGATGAATGGATGGCCACGTGCTTTTTGAACAACGTTTATTGTTGCTATCTGCCAGCACACTGCTCTCATGGGCTCCAGCCGTTGGACAATGGAGTATTCAATGCCTCCAAAGCCGCATATCGACGAGAGTTGGAAAAGTTCGCTTCGTTGACTGATTCCACTCCAATGGACAAGGTTAATTTCATCAGGGCCTACGCCAAGGCTCGTCGAGTTGGAATGACTGAGAAGAACATACTCTCTGGCTGGAGGGTTACTGGGAATTGGCCGATCTCACGTGCCAAAGCGTTGCGGCACCCAGAAATCCAAGAAGATAGGCCAAAAAGCAGCCCAAGAGCGACTCCCGAACCCAGGCCGTATTTTGACTCGGACGATACACCAAAGACGAGCCGTCAAATTCGTGATCTTGGGCTGAACAAAACACCAAAGACACGAAGGCGGTACAACGTAATAGCCAAGGGCTTTGAGGCTCAACAGCAGACGGTAGCGGCGCATACTGTGAGGATTGGTAGCCTAGAGGAGGAATTGGCTCGCCTGAAGAGAGGGAAGAAGAGGAAGGCGGTGCCGAATCCTAACAAACGTTTTATGACTCTTGGTGAGACTCTAGCTGGTGGAGAAGCCATACCAGAAGAGGAGACTGAAAATATGCCTGTTGTGGTGGAAGGTGGCTATTCAGGCGAGCAGGAGTCAGAATCGGAGGCTGGCTCGGTCATTGAGGTCAGAGAGGAAACCATACCCCATCAACCAACCACGCGATCAGGGCGGCTTATCAAAAGACCCAGGATTCAATAGATATGTGCAATTATTATTTATAAGACGGACAATTTTGCGTATATCTATCATTTTGGTCAAGCTCTGTGTAAGTAAAGTTGCTGATTTTTGGTGGTGCTTTTTTTTTTTTGCGTGGCGAAAGGGTGGGGTTGGCGAAAGGGTGGTTGTGCATGGTACCCCTGGTCCAGCTGGCAGTCCGCTTGAATTGGCTGGACTTGCTGCGACAGCTCAACGCGCGAGACGCCAAATTGCTCCGCCACATATCCCTCGCTGACGACTTTCCAAGAGGCGTCTACAACTTTGGCAGTCTACTGATATGCGCGCTGGCTAATGGTCGGGCCGAGGTGGCTGAGTTCCTTCTCGAACAAGGGGTCAGCGTTGCCCTTCACCCAGAGCGCGCAACAGTCTCAGGGCTTATCGGACCCCTACATGCCCTCTATGCACTGGCCGAAGACAAGTTGAAACCCATGGCACGGCTACTCCTACAGCATGGAGCTGACATTACCCTAAATAGCCACGGGGGCGTTACAGCCACGTCACTTCCGATTCGCTTCCCTCTCGAGTTAAGCGGTACACCACTTGATGTAGCGGTCTCGGTCGGGCGGTTGCACCTGGTGAAACTGCTGCTCGAGCTGGGATCCGATCCCCTGGTTGAGTGTATGAGTACACCTTTCAAGCGTTCTCACAACTCCCTTGAACTAGGCGTCGCGCTACACGTCCACGAAATTGTGGATGCTATTTTGGGACATCTGTCCAAGAAGTCGGGCGGCAGTCGGGAGTGGAAGGAAACTACGAGCAAAATCCTACCCCATTTGGCGGGCCACGTTCTGGGTGGCAAAGGCCTGTTTTGGAAGTGGCTTCTTCACGGGTCACAGTACCGTGAAGCGTGTCGAAGAACTGTCGAAACTTGCCTGAAGTACGGCGTGGATATCAACGGCATTGGCGACGATGAAGGCAATACGGCGCTTGTCTTCGCAGCGAGGCAAAACCCATGTCACCAATATGTTCTTGACACTCTCCTCCTGTACGGAGCGGACCCCAACATCAAGAACATGTACGGATCATTCCCTCTCAGCCTGTGCCTCGACTCGGCATGGGGCTCGATGGACTGGGGGCGATGCGTCCAGGCCCTTCTGGAGTCCGGCGCCGACCCTAGCTTGGCTCTGCCGGACGGCCGACAACCGATCCACGTACACGCGACGGGCAACATGGCTGAGAGCGTAGCGAGGCTCCTTGACGCTGGCGCGGACATCGAGGCACGCGAAAACGACAACGGGACACCCCTAACATGGGCGGCCATGACAAAGGCATACTCTTGCGTTGAAGCTCTGCTCGACGGCGGCGCTGACATGGAAGCTTGGGTCCAGCCCGGCGGAGACGGCCCCGGGTACACGGCCATCGGCGCCGCAGCCTTGGCCGGAGCGACGCGTGTATTCCAACTCCTGGCCCGGCGAGGCGCACAGCCATGGCAGCCGGGGAACGGGGGCTCGGTGCTGCACTTGGCGGCGGCGACGGGCCACGCCGACATCCTTCGCCTCGCCCTCCGCAGGTTCCCGGACACCTACCGCACGCTCGAGATGTTGTCCAAGATCAACCGCGACGGCTACTCGGCCTTGCACGTCGCCACGAGCGCCAATCTCAGCTGCGTGCGAGAGCTGGTCCTCGCCGGCGCGCCGCTCGATCTCCGCGACCCCAGCCGCAACCTCGACGCCGGCCACACGCCTCTGGGCGCCAGCATCCAGGGCGGCGCCTATGACGTGGCGCGCTTCATGCTCCAGAACGGCGCGAGTCCCTTCTGCCGCGGCCCAGCTGCCGACCGCCGCTGGTCGTTTCTCTGCGAGGCGCTGTTTTATGCGCGCAAGGCAGCCCACACCCATCCCCACACCTTTGCCGCACTGCTCGACGCCGTGTGGCAGTGGGTTGACGAGTACGACTTGCTGCGCGTCCGCGACTTTGGCGGACGCACCGCCCTGCAATTTGCCATCTACTACGGCCTCGCCGGACCCGCGAGGATCCTGGTGGAGCGCGGCGCCTCGGTCCACGACCGCCTCGGTGCGCCCATGGATGTGTCGTGGGAGACGACCGACTTCGAGGGCTTGACTTGCCTGCAGTTTGCGCGCGCCGTGCGCGGGTTCTCGCCCAAGGAGCGCGAGCAGCTCTACGACCCTGACTCTTTTGAGATTTCAGATGAGAGCATCGACGCAGTTATTGCCTTTCTGGAGGAGGAGACCGCCTACCAACCTCGTCCTAAGCTCGGTCCTAAAAACCTTTGTCATCCCCTTTAATCATTGCCAAGCATTGACCCAGTCTGAGCGGTCACCTCAAAGATTCCCACCAAGCGGCCTCGGATGCTAGGCCGCGTAACGTCTGCAACGTAGACCGGCACAGTGAGTGTTGCTGATCGAATGTCCAATTTCCTGGAGGCTCACCTGGCTATCGTTATGCTTGTGTATCCCTTGGGGCTAGCGATTAGTAAAGCCCCGAACATGAAGAGAAAGTATATTAAGACGACGAACTTATGATAGCTGATCTTTTTAGTAATGGGGAATGTAGAAAATGGGTTAGTAATGGCGTCGAGTTGGAAAATTAATATAGCATTGGCTCAGGTATTACTGCGCTCATAATAAGATGTGCCTTTACGTTTAAAGTCTAAAATCAAGGAGTTAAGCGAGGAGAATGGCTGTAGCTAAATGTAGCACAGGATGTGTATAAAATCGACTCAGAGCCGACACAGTCATCAGGTCGGAAGGCTGTCTTTCTTAGCCATATAAACAAAAAGGCAGCTGTTATATCTGGAACATAGATTATGTCGGGGATGCTTCAGTTATTGGTTCGGCGATTTCGTGAGAGAGCGAATCTCTCATATGCCTCCTACCCTGCGGTAACTGGAGATAGCTCTCCTCAACCGCCCATCTTCTCGCTACAGCACTTCTGGGCAAACTGTGTTCGAATTGTCATTGGATACCAGTCAGCCCCGCTGATTGTGTTATCATTGACATTGAGATAACCCCAAACTGCCCCACCCACACTACGGAAAATGGTCGCCTTGGTCAAAAAGAAAATGGATGGCATCGTGAGACTATTAATGCTCCCGGCAGGGCTTGAACCTGCGACCTTCGCATCACCAAGACTAACAGGTTTGTAGTATTAGTACGAAGCTCTAACCAACTGAGCTACGGAAGCCGTCCGATTTGTGATGGAGTTCCTGGTATTTTTTGACTACCTGGTCCACCATGCGCTGCATCTTCTTCGCCGCGGGGAATTTGAGGCTCAATGATTGGAATAGGTCGAGGGAAAGTTCCAAATCATCGGTGGCTTTCGTTTCGCCTAGAACCGCGACCAAGTTGTCGGGTTGAGCCGTTACGGCGTAGATGAGTGACAACGTCGCGGTAAAGACGGACAGAAGGTTCAACCAGTTGTACGCGAACCGCTTCTGCCGGTGCATGTTTGTGGCCTGGCGGATCGACATGGAAGCCGCCTCTGCAAGAGTCTTGATACGATGTTGATCCAGAGTCGGGAAAAGAGGCGTTGGTCGGTAGAGCATGGCGAGGTGCGTGTAATAGTTGAGGTCGTACCAGTTGCTCGTCAAATGCGGCACCTGCGTGTTGACATCGGGGAGGGGAAATGGCATGTTGCGACGCCAGTCGATGAGTTCCTTGTGCAGCGACCGCAGGATCTCTTCTCGTTCGTGTGGGCTAAATTTGGCGACCCTCTGATTTGAGTATACCTGTGTGGCCATCTTGCTTGAAATCCGCCTCAGGGCGAGAATGTGGAGAGGAATGGCCATCAGAGATGGGTTGAGAGAGTTGGGGGCCTGAATGCCTTCCGGTGTCACGTCCTCTTCGTCGACATCCACAAAGGGCTGACATGAAAATCGTCAGTCATAATATTCTCATGAATTTGTTTCGTTTCAGGGGAGGTGCCTCACCGTGACATCGATATCATCGTCGTGTAGAGCGAAGGGTCTCCCTAGAGCCATTGATACAACGCTAGAGAGAGGGGATTCGATTAGCAAGTAGCCTACAATTCATCATGCGATATTCAACATACCGGTCCATCATGTAAATGGAAAAGAAAACCCGTTTCCTCCTTTGGATAACATCATGAGATAATCCCTCATACGTCTTGGATGTGTGGAGGCCCATGCCCAGGGCTATTCGAGCAGCCAATCCGACGAGGAACCAAGTATCTATGTCATTGTTAGTGCCGTTATTGGATGTCAGAAACAAGTGCATACTTGGCCCCAACTGGTTAAAGAATGAATACGAAACCTGAAGAGTAATGACTTCGAGGGCGGCCTGGAAGGGAATTGTCAAAACACATCGCTCATCAGCAGCACTGTTGTACGCACCATGTCACCATACTCCAGAGCCGCCTCAAAGTAGGTCAGAGCTTTATCGTAATACAACATGGATTCGGATTCTTCGCCCAAAGTCACTGAGCAATAGGCCGTAGATCCGATGGCTAGAACCATCCATATTCTGAACAGACATAATGGTGACTGGGCCAGCGGTGCTTCCGGATTGGAACGGACGAAGTGCAGCGCAGAGTTGAACTCGGTTCGCTGAAGTATTGGATAAAGCGTATGGGAATGCGCAAAGTAGAAGTCTACCAAGCGGTTGACCTTGTCGTCGTCGGGCAATGAAGTCAAGTGCGCAACGGCCTCGTCGGGTGCGGCGATGGCGGACAAGGGGTAGTCGCCGAATAAAATGGGATCGCATGCCGTCGGATTGCCAAAGTTGTTGAACATGAATCCATTCAATAGTTCGGAAGGAGACCCGACGTTGAGCTGCTGAAAGGTTTGGGCATCATCATCATCGTCGGTGGCGAAGACGAAGTCGGCCTTATCTGGCGTCAGGCGTCGAAGCACCGTCTGCGTCAGCTTCGCAAAGGAGAGACCGGACGAGGAGCCGAGGTGTCGTTCGGCCGTGGCCTCGAGCGAAAGCTGCTTCAGCTCCTCGTCGAGAGAATGCGGCGTCTCTCGAACCGATCTCGGCGCAACGATTTCCGGTGCCATGGTCAAGTCGCCCCAGGTCTCGTCTGAGTAAAAGGTCGGAGGGCATCCGAGATCGGGGTCGACGACGACCAGCTCGTCGGTATAATCTTCCAGGTTTTGGTCTGGTATCACACGCGTGGGAGATGCTTCCTCGTTTGTCGCGGAGCTACCTACCCGTGGAGAGCTGGCGAGCTGGTTCTCCAAGTCCTGAATCCTGCTCTCCAGACTACGTACGTATCTGCGTTGTCCAAATTAGCCATACAGAAGTTGGAACGGGTGTATCATTCACTCGTGCAACTAATCACTTTAAAACAAACAGATCACACTGCTTACCCGATGGGATACGACGCGGTCTGGCGGTCATCGTCCAGGAAGCTACAGGCCACGTGCGCCTTGTGGCAATTATCGCACTGCGGCAACGCGCGGTCGCATCTCTTTTTCCTCTTGTGGCATCGCGAGCATGAAGTTCGAGCGTACGCTGTCGCGAACGGAGGCGACATGCTCAGAGTAGTTGTAGACCGAGACATGTAGCGACAGGGAAAATTAGAGGGAAAATCGGTGGTCGGTGTCAAAGTGCGAGTCAGATACGAGTCAGATGACTCTCATGATAAAGTCCAACGCAGGTTTTCCCCCACTTCCCCGCATCGTGATATGCAAGATGGATTCCGCTGGCGATTGATTCCGCAGGGCCATGACGAGCCAAGGTCCGATAAGCTCCCCAATCAAGTTTGTGGGTTTCTAATGCACATTCGCCGTCTTTTCCAGGTTAGATCCGATCATTCCTCTCAAATGCCTTGTCGCCGAGATTCACATCCCGGCTTACAAGAGCGTTGGCCCGCACGAGATGCTACCTCGCTTACTCGAACACCAGAGAGGCCTCCTCGATTGCTAGTACTCTGACTTCCGTTCTCTCAAATTATTCCTATTTCGAGGTTCCTAGTGACATGATGTGGTTGGGTGCCAATTCGCGAATAGCGAGCCCCTGAGTCTGAATGTGATGACTGTTTGCCAAAGCAACGGGTTTTGATCGCCGAGACGAACAGGTAAAACACGAGCAATCACCATAGCCCATATTTTCCAACACTTCAATCACCGTAGGTCTACATCATTCCCATCAGCCGTTGACGAAAATCGTCCCAGTCGGTGTTGACCCCGAAAAAGCCCGAGCATTCTGTCAGAACATGACAACGTCATTGTTAAGGTGAAGCAGAGAGTGTGCAATCCCGTAATAGATGCTACAACACTGGATGAAACAACTGATTAACAAGAATTAGCCTACTAATGTTCATTATCGGAGCGTCCGACAGACTGAGGGAGCCCGGAATTCGGAGACTTGGAGACCCCACCCACTTTAAACCACTCATCTTAGCGGTCAGTCCGATATCTCGACAAGATAAGCCACTGCTTCGGGATTGGACATTTTTGCCATCATCAAATGTTTGTCACATCTCAAGTGTTTTTCTTTTTATCTAGCATAGATACAGACCGCTGACAAATAGTTATTCTTTCTGATCTCTGGCCTATTGACACCATCCAGTAGTTTGCGATGCAAATGTGACAAGAGATCGAAACTAAACCAAAATCCGTGCAAGGATTACCAGCGTCAATTTACAGCTCAATCACCGCTGTAGCTTTGACTTCCACAATCAACCGAGGGTCTGGCAACTCCTTGACACCAATGGTTGCCCGCGCCGGGGCACTGTCGCGACTTGGAAACACCTTGTTCCACTCCTCATTCATACCAGCATACTGGGTCTTCATATCCAGAATGTAAACCACAGTGTCAATGACGTTCAGAATTCCGCCGGAGCCATTCGAAGCCCCCTTGATGATCTCATCAATGTTCTTTAACACTGCTGCCGTTTGTTTTCGAATGTCCAAATCAAAAGTGCCGTCCGCGTTCTCGGTGACGCCGGGATAGGTCCCGTCTTGTTGGCGGCATGCGATTCCGGAGATGTAGATGGTTTTGTGGGCTGCGGCAGGGCTGATTCGGGCGTGAGGATAACGAGTTGGTCCTTCTGGGGCCTTAGGATCAAGAAGGAATGCTTGTCCGTTGGGTGACATAATTAGGTGCTTAGAAGTTGGATAGAACAAAGCGTGGTTGAATAAGACACAGGGCACGCGCTGGAGCTGTTCCAAGATGGATTGTTTGAAGTCGAGATTCGCAGAACTAACAGAATATGAGCATCTTTTATCTTGACTGGTACAAAATCTTGACTTATGTTTCGGCATATGTCGGAAGGGCCGAATATTGACGTTGTACCAAAGTAACAGACTATTCTAGGATATCGGACAAACCGTCCGACCAGTGGATCTGCTTAATCTATGAACTAGACTACATACACTTTGCCTTGATGTGTAACTGCTATTGTGGTCAAAGAAAGCGAGAAGCGTTCATTTATATGAGTTTCCTCACAAGGATAAAAAGACAATTCAATGATTATCCCAACAGTTTTACATCGATATGTAGCTTGCGCGCTGAGCTCTCGGCAGTGCTGGATGTAGGACGTACGAGTTGATTGAAGACATCTATGGGAAGTCGATATATGTTCTACAATGCCTCAAATCATATGAGTTACTGTCGGAATACCCGACAGGTAAATGTCACTTGTACGTGGATATTCCAGTTGTCGGTCCACGATCATGGAATGAAAACAACTCTGCTCCGTTGCTTTGCCAAAAAACAACAACGCGAGGACTCCAACTCGTACCCCGGTGACGAGACCAACATGTTCTTTTCCTATTTACGATGAACAGAGTCAGTACACGTAGTACGGACTATTGATTTTGATTTCCATGTTGACGCATGGCTGCGGACCCCTTCGATACTTTAGGCTGAGCACAGTCCGCTCGTGATTTGGGTCAATTTCATTGGCTCAGCCTTTCGCCTTATTCTAAAACTTGGCATATGTGGCTACTGTCTTCTTTGTTTCGAGTAATACTCGTAGCGGAGGGCTGCTAGAAGTTCTGTCGAGAGTGGCAACAGTTGCCGGATCAAGTTAACAGACGCGTCGACTGTCGGCTGTTCCGAACTCCGACACGGGAATACCCGACATGCATCTCCAGTACCACATTGATGCTGAACTGAACTGTTGCCCACTTAGTCAGACCCTATAGCTACCTAGCCGGAATTAGAAACCTTCTCTCGATGGTCTCATCCTTTACACCACTACATTTGACGACGCAC